CACTACACGACACACGACGCAGCTGTGAATCCAGCTTAATGGTGAAGAATACTACGTCGAACCTGCCAATAAAGGTCCAAATGCTTACCATTGAAATCTAGATGTTGGTTTGATGAAGACCAGCACCGGTGCTAGAGTTTTTTGAGCAATGAAAAGAGCCATTGAAGGAGGTTTCAACATTCCTCACAGGTAATAAAAAACATCTCGCTTTTGTATAAACAATTTTAAAGCAGTATATTTTTTATTATTAGCATAGAACGATTCCCTGGCTATGATGCTGAAGCTAAAGAATCCAGTGCCGAGACTCATTGTTAGCACACATAGGGTTTGCACGTATCTGAATACATACGTAAATTATGAGAAGAGGATGAAGATACTTACAATCGTCAGTTCTCTCAGTGCATCATATTAGGAATCGTCACTTATGATGTAAATCACTTAATTACTTAGCAGTAAACAATTTAAATTGATTAAAAATAAAATTAATAAGTTCATAAAAATGCTATATTGGATTAAAAATATTAAACAATAGGTACCTATATCATTGTATTGGTTAAAAAATCTTGAATTTGTATTTAGAAATTAAGAATCTTAGAACCAAGTTTTAAATATTTTTACTATAATTTTTCCTATTAAAAATTCTAAATAAACTCGTAGGTATTTATAAATACATTTATACTCTTTTGATAAATGTAATCCATGACATTAAGCATAATTTGTAAAATTATACTCGCAATACTGTTTTAGAATGCGCCGTTTATAGTCTTAGTAGTTATTAGTTAAAGAGATTTGTAACCGTGATATTCTGTTTTTGTCCAACACATACGCGACATAGGATTCTAACCTAACCTGGCTCTAGAAATTTCTTTAAATTTTTTTTAAATGTTACATTATTGTAGCTATGGCTATATTAAATGATTTGGATTAGTTTAAGAAACATTTAGAAATATACCTAACCTGTTCATCATAATTGCCTATCTTATTCGTGTAAAAGTTCCTCACTTCACATAACAATTTAACAATCTAAACATTTTATTTTTAAAATAAATGTGTGATTTTATGTGTTTAATACTTTAAAAGTATCAGAATTTCAATATAAAGTTTAGTTTTTTATATATTAATAAATCAAAAAAAATAATGATATGTAAAAACATATAAATAAGGTCTTTAATCATCAGTAATCAAACAAAATAAGAAAAATTGATGGTAAAATATTTGTTGACTATATTAAAAGCCGAGAACATTTATTTATTTCATGAATTTAAAATGTACATCCTCCTTAGTCTGTTGTAGACATTTTCCCAAGAATTTAATGTATCCCTTATTTTTAGGTTCCGTTGTCAGACTACAAAGAAGTTGTAGGGAAAACAGCAATTGCCGAAAGTGATATATTTTTCAGAAATTGATACATACGTCTTATCTTTCTGTAAAAACTACTAAAAAGAAAAAAAAAATGTACATATCAGTGGGCTTAGATAGCTACACCTAGCTAGGAACTCCTTAAATAATAAAATTAAAATTAAATATCTTTCTGTATGTCATTGTTTTTCTTTCTCACAGTACACAGAATTTTTTAATTTTTTTTATTGTGTAGGTATGGTTAGAAATGTAGCTACTTGGTTTTATGTTTAAATTAAGTTGTTACTATTTTGACTCGTGTCAAATTATATTTTGTATAATTAAAATATTGAGGGTACAAATTTGAAATAAATTTACTTCAATACTTCACATCACACACAAGTTAATTTATTAATTTGAATATTTCAACCTTATCAGAAAAACAAATGTGTTGCGTTGGAAAAATATGTTCTTTCTCGGTAAAAATCTTTAGTATGAATCCTGTTAGGACAATTTATTTTCAAATAATTATTAGTTTGGATGTAATGTAAGGCTTCATAAAATATATAAATATTAGGGTGAAAATGGAGAAAACATGCTATTATGCTTCAAATGAAAACTTTTTCATATGCATTGGTTGTCATTGTCTTTCTGTAAGTTCAATCTATTGATACCATTTGTTTACTTCACAATGACTTTAGTGCTTCAGAGAGTATGCTAGGATTTCTAAATCGAGACAGTGTTCGTGGAATGTTTATGCTGCAAAAATTGCACCAGCCGCCACCAGGTAAGTAATTTTCTCATAGTCCAAGCATTATTAGGACCTATCAAGTTTAATAAATTGGTACTCAATATTAAACCAGCAGTAAATACTTATACATTTGACAAAATTATAACATACCAACCGCAAATAGATTAATGACAAGTGATGAATAATTTGATTTTACAATGATGGTTACGTTAACAAAAATCGTCATAAAACTATAGTTGACATTTTCAACAAATATTTATTCTATTATTTTATATAGGTAGGTACACGATAAAATGTTCAAAATGTTATTTCTCTGGACTATTATTTATAGACATTTTCAATTTTTTTTTTTTTTCATATTTATCACAGTTATTACAATTTCATATGGTAATGCATAAATTCATAGAGCAATGTATAATTTATATAGACAACCAACAATAAACACCAGGCGATGAACATGCGCAAACTAGGATGAAAACACTGTTCGTACTGATTATACTTCTTATTTCTTATACTATGGTAGACACCAACATTTTTTCTATTTACTGTCTACTAAAATGGTAAAATAAATAAATACATAATAACACATTTGTAAATATTATGACTACGGGGGTTGTGGGGGGCAGAGTTCCCCACTATTGAATTCTAGTAAATTTTCAGAACCCACCAAATAGAAAATTCCTGAGAACGTCAAAGTACACTAGATACAGAAAAATCTAATTTCCCCGATGACTGATAATTAAGAATTGACAAGTCGATAAACAAGTAACAATGGTCAACATGTATTGTACAATTAATATATTTAAATTATCTTATACAATGTACATAATATTATAATATAGTATTTAAGATTATCTGATTTTTTCGGTCGGTCAAAATTTAAAATTCCCAACAGTTTTCATAAGCACTGGGAAAAACAACATAAAAATTAAGAAAATTAATTAAAAAACTAAGTTTTACGCATATCGGTTTTTTGATAAAATTTATTTTGGATTTTGGTATACTTCTAAAACAAAGCAACTTACATACATGAAATGTTCACAATTTAATACAAGGCTCCTGAGTCCTGATATATTGTTCCAGTAGCAGTTGAAAAATATTACTAATACATAGGCACAATTTTTTTTTAGAAGCATTTAAAGTTCAAATGTTGACATTCATCAAAATTAAAATTTAATAATTTAAGGGGTTATTTGATGAAGGTGTTACTCACAATTTTGAAATTATTCAGGACAGTTTTAATGGTTTAATTATATAAACGTTTGGAACTTTTTAATTGTTCAGATGCTAAGAAATTGTTGAAAACAAAAATTATGTATTTTTGAGTCATAAACAATACTATGAAATTTTATCTGTCAATAAAATAATAGGGGATTAATACAATGACACCTTAATCCACAAAATAAGAACGGCATATTGTATAAATAACACTTTTATCAATTTAATATCTCCATAAATATAAGTTTTTTTGTTCTGTATTTGTATAGCCTATGTAATACGTCATGATCCATAATTTTATGTAATATAACAGTTTTTAAAAGTGTTAGTTAACACCTTCAATTATTATTTTGTAGTTAAAAATTTATAAAATATTCAACTTTTATATCTAAGAATTGAAAATTAAAGACAAGGTTCTAAGTAAATAGGTTATATATAAATTACTTTATTCACAATAATGTCCTCAAATATACTTAGTAGACAGTAGTTAGTAATAAAATATTACAGACAGACTGACTGTCTTCCCTCAGAAACGTATTTCTTATGATAGAATATCATAGAATTCAAATTTAACACCATCCATTACAGTGATCCACTTGTAACCTACTGTACAGCAGAGTGACAAACTGACAACCACTTGCCCACCTTTTTTAATTTCGGTTAGGTATACAGGCCACAAAAGAAAAGTTGATGTATGGTAATGTGTACAAACAAAATTGATAGTTAATTATTATTATAACAAAATGGTTATTTTTATCACATATTTTATAATCTTTATTATTGGGCTAGTGTGTTTGACACACACAACACACCTTGTTATTGGGGCAATGGTATTGCACTATTGAGTCAATGGTCATATATCTTGTAAGCCGGTGATAAAAGTTACAGCACATTTGCTGTGCCATGTTCCTTGCATCATATTTTGATTGGCCGGTTGAATTATGATGGTATCATTCACCAACCCTGAGGTTTTGTGACATTTTCAGAGTTGAGTGGAGAGTTTGAGACTTAGAATGTAAAAGGGTAATTTTTGAATGTGAAACCAGCATTTGTCTGTGCCAAGTGACTATACATCATTCTTCATGTATGGGATTCAAACTACTACACAAATTAAATTTCATATGTTTATTATCAAATTCCAATATAATATATATTATTTTTTTTTTAATAATTTGATTCGTGCACATCTAATGGCGAATAAAATTGTATTAAGGAAATCCAAGTTAAACAAAACTTTGTACATCATTTTTTATAGTTTAAACGTAGGAATGAATAATATATATTAACAAACAAACTTCTAATGACGTAAAAATTGTATATAAAACAATAAAACCATAATAAATTATCATAAAATATATGATGTTTATATAACTCGATAGAAAAAAAAATGATAATTTATAGGATACATAAAATCCTATTAATATATAATTTTTAGGACAAAATAATTTGATATATTTAAGAAGTCCTAATAATTAATAAAACTCAAAACAAAAATGACTCATTATAATGACATTGTTATCATTTCTGCTTGAAAATGGTTGAGTTATGACTATTAGCTAAAATATGCGAAAGATTAAATGTTGTTTTCAGCTGAATTATATACATTATCGATCACAATATAACAATGTATATTCTGAAGTAATATTATTAAGTGTTAAATAGAATATATATTGAGAATGCATGATTTGTTAGTTTAAAATCTGATGTTTGATGCTATGACATTGGAGACTGCACCACTAGAAATGACACCAGAGCGGAATTCTTCTTGTGCTTTAGCAAAACTGGCACCAGAGCTTCGATAAATTCTATGGATCTAAAAATATTAAAATCATAAAAATTAGATAATAGTGCAATGATTAATGAGTATAATATTGTTAAAATCTATCTTTTTTTTTTACTTTGGTCAACAAAAGGAAGTCCATAGTTGCACCAAGAGAAAAAGCAATTCCCATTAATGTCACCAGAGTGCCTAAAAATGGATGAGAGTCCTCATAAAGTCTGACGGCCATAAATAATCCACTATAAAAAATAAGATATAACATTTTAATAAATTTTACAATACTACAAATTGTTAAACAATAGAAACAATTACCAATAACCCGATTCATATGAACCCAATGCCTGAACAACTGCTATAACAAACTGGATACAGAACACAAAGAAGTAAAGCATGAAGTTGAAAGAACTGTCATCACTAAAGGTAAAATAACAATTAAATAAAAAATTAAATAGGTATATAAAGCAATCATTATAAAAATCAGATTTTTTAATACTTACCGGAAAGCTTTATATCCTGGACGGAACCAAAATAAAAATGAAAGTGGTACTAAAATTCCGGCATACACAATTGAAAAAATAAATGTAGCTATCGCTCCAGTTAAGAAAAGTAATAAGATACCAATCAATATATTGCATGCGAGCAAACCAGTATGGTCTATAAAATAATAAACATTTGTCATTAATTCAAGTTACTTTCAAGTATACTTATATTTAAGTAACTTACATAACCATAAATAATATAGTTGCCTGACAACATGTTGAAAGTCTGGAGGAATTTCTACACTTATATCCAAATAAAAACACGGTTGATAGCAAAACCCTTTAGGTAATGGCGGCCAATTGTTTTGGCGAACTAGAACAATTCATAAAAATAATTATCATTCATTTTTATAGAAACATTCTATAGTATTCATAGTATAAATGATAATAACACATACCATTTATTGAAGCCGTGCGCAGTTCCTCTTCTCTTTTATCTAATTCAGCTTGTCTTCGATCAAGTTCAGCTTTTCTTGCCTAATTAAATAACAATATACATAAATACAAATTTTATATATAAGAAAAAAAAAATGAAATAAATACCAATAAATCAGCTGAGACATCGCCTGGATTTCTTCCATAAGTAGGAGCAACTTGTGGAGTAACTGGATATTCTTGCGTAGGTGACATAACAGCTGGCATAGAATTAAGTGGTGGATTGGCTGCCCCCCTTACAGGAGGTTTCTGTAATCAAATATAAATGTAGGTAATGAAGTCTTATTAAGTATTATTAACTTTTAAGGTTTTAATAAACAGTTTTAGATTTTACTACGAGTATAAACTATAAATATATATATATATATATATATATATATATATATATATATATGTATATAACATATTATTAAAATTAATATTTAATACAAATTACAAAAACACAAACTAACTTAAACTAAAGAATAATGACAACTAAAACAATATATTTTATAGTAATAATTAAGTACAATAGGTATAATAATGTTACCGCATTGTTAACAACATTTTGATCCTTTCCGAATGGATTGAAGTCTTCAATTAAAGACTGTACTTTATTATTTGTTAGTTCTTTGACTGAAGGATCCTAAAAAAAATAATTAAAACACATTTTTGTCCCTTAAACTATTAAGTATACTTATAAAGCTACATTTTTCTACATTTTCTACTTAAATTATCTATACAATTTACAACATTTATTAATATCAAGAATAACAAAAAATAGCTTTGTAATATTTATGGAACCTATACCTAATGTATTTAGATAGTCTAATTTAAATGATTAAGTAGCTGTATACATATCATATTGGCTAAATTAATAAGAAGTAAGTTAACAATTCTTAATATTAATTTCTCCCTTAGGTAATTGTTAAAATATAAAATATTTGAATCTTATGAGCATATGTGATGGACGGACTCAAGTACAAGTTCAAATACATGTGACCAATAGACACAAATTATATTTAAATTAATAACAAAAAAAAATTACAACTTTGTTACGTTTTTTAATTCAACTAGGTATACAAGTGTGATCGTATTCACATAAACGAATTACATAACTACTTTAAAATAGGACCCACTAACTATTTTTATATGTTTTGCACATTCGATTAAAAATATCATAAAAATTACCTGAAAAGGATGACCCACGGATGGGGTGGGATCGCCGAAAGGATTTTCATCTGAATCAGCCATAGTTAATGGTTATGTAATGCGTAAAAAATGCTATTACACCGACACGAGCTTGTTGTATTTTCGATACTGTCAAGTACCTATTTTACAGGACAGCGACTGCGACTAAACTTGAATTCACTTCGACGATGACATGATAAAACGTTACCGGAACGACAAGCCCAAACACTCAAATGCAATATAGATTTGTTAACGGATGTCTGTTTTTATCATTCAATATTTCTGAGCGACTGGCGACCACCGTACGCCAAGCTAGTGCCAAATGCCAATTATTATGTTAATCGACGACGAAAGATTATAAAGTTACGGAAAAAATTCACAGAATTATGTGACGTACGCTATCAATAAATGGAAAAAAAAACTATTTTACAGTGTGTGAACGAGATAAATGTATTGCTAACAACATTATTAATTTAATATTAACCGTCTCAGGTCGACTTATAGACACACTAGTCGTCGGTTAGTTGCGAATCGACGGTAGAAAATAATATTATGATTTTGCAATTATTACTTTTATTGTGTGTGTATCGAGTTCAATAAAATTAAAATCTGCACACTAAACACTTATTCCTGGAATATTCCAGAGTTCCAGGGTTAAAATATTAAAATGTTGGACACTTGGACTTCCTGTTGGCTGATAACCAATCATCTTTTTATCACAGAGATTATCTAATATCTTATCATTTATCTATTGTGTTATCAGCCACGCTTTCGTCGTTTCGGCATGTTGTTTAGTTATTTAAATATTGTGTATTTGTGTTCATCAATCAATATAATTTAATATTTTTAAATATATCTTAATAAACACTTACACCGACGTAACACCAAAATGGTTAGAAAATTGAAATTCCACGAGCAAAAATTGTTGAAGAAAGTCGACTTCATATCATGGGAACTAGACAACAATTTACACGAATTAAAAATTATGAAGAAATACATGATTCAAAAACGAGAACATTACACTCTGTAAATAAATAAACTCTAGTTAATAAATCGATCATAACGAGAAAAATTAATTGTATCTTTGATGTGTTGTAGATATAATAAGTTATCCAGAGAAATACGGACGGTGGCTGAAAAGATTAAAAGTTTGGAACCTAAAGATCCATTTCGAAATGAACGTGGTGCTCAGTTATTGGAAAAATTGTAAGATTAAATTCCTAATATATTCACTAATTTTAAAAAATTCAATTAAAAACAATATGGGAATGTAACATTTAAAATTCAAAAGGTGAGCAAATGAGCGCCACTCTGCTGTACATAAGAAGTTGTGTGCGTGTGTCACTGTAAAGGATGTGTTGAATCACTTAAATTTAAATTCAATAATATTATATTATTGTACACAAAAAGTGATTCTGAGCAAACACTGTCATACTATATTACTAAATATATTTATATTGCTATTATAGTAATTTGTTTTACTATTAGAATACTAGTTTATATAGTAGGTTGAATTAATTATTCCCAATAGGTATTGCATTTAAAAATGTAATTGCTTGTACATGAAATATAATAATATGAATAGTAATTAAATGATTCAAGGAACATAAATAATATTTCTAAATTACAACAAAATGTCTAAAATTGTTATTCTTTTATCAAAATTTAAACTTGATTATAAAAAAGTTGTGCTATTTATCTTTAATATTTTTAAATAGCTATAATAACAACTTATGATTAGCCTTATATTAATTAATGTTCAAGCCTTTGAGTCAACAGAAAAATTGAATTACCATTTACAGAAAATTTAAATGTTTGTAAATAATGATAATATGTTGAATGAGCAAAATATTTTGAAAATTGTATAGGTTATGTATGGAAAATTATGAAATAAACATTTGGTTAAAATGTCAAGTATCTACGGTAATTCTTTTTTCAACAAAAAAGTTACACCAAAAAAAGATTTTTTCGAACATCGGTTTTACATATTTTAAGCTCGACAATTACATGGGTTTTCTTAATTATTTTAAATTATGTTACAATTAAATGAAATGACCATTACATTTTTTCATTGCATATTTCTTATATTATCTAGTAAATTATTGACATTTTCTTGTCTAAATTTATAATTAATCATAGATATTTGAGTATTATTTAATATTTCTTGAATTATTGTGTTAATTTAAAGGGAAATATTTTATCTACAACTGATTTTGATTGAACATTAAAAAAATAGACAAAATATTTCAATATAAGTATTTTGTTTTAGATACATGATGGGATTAATAACGACAAAAAGGAACTTTGAACTTTGTTCAAAGGTAACAGCATCATGTTTCTGTAGACGTCGATTACCTGTTATAATGGTTCGGTCTAAAATGGTTCAAACCCTGAAAGCTGCTACTACCTATATAGAACAAGGACATGTTCGAGTTGGTCCACAGTTAATAAAAGATCCAGCATTTTTAGTATCAAGGTATGTCAAATATCTTATACCATTGCCATTTTTTTTTTAAGGGTACTTAATGTGAATATTTTTAAATTTATTAATCTCAAATTACTTATAAGTACACACTGCACAAAATTATGAAAAATAACTGAGAAAAGCAAGGTGTTTATTATATGGGTAATGCTTACCTAATCTACCCAACTCAACTTTTATTAGTTAACTAAGGTTTTGGGGTATATCTTTTGTATTATTTTTCTTCAGATACCTATTATAGTATTGTTTGTTTGTTTGTAGGTGTATGAAATAAAATATTATATTTAAAAAATATGGCATTTTATACAGTAGTGTGTTAGGGGGTTACAACGTATACTCACTTCTGTAGATTTTTTTTTTTTAGTGTAAAGTGCATTTTTTCTAAATGTACAATGAGAATATTCGGATGTACGGTCATATCGCCCCGTGTACCTATCTAAATTTTTAGTGACAAAAACAAAATATTCTTTAATTATTATTTGTCAGATAGTTTTAGTAGTTCTCAAGTAATTATCAGAAAATATTTTGAGAACCAACCTTTTATCTATCTTATACCGTTAATGGATTATACCTATATGACTGGGTTCATGACTTTATGAGTAGGTATATAAATATTATTAGTATATTTATATTAACATTTTTCAGAATTTAAGTTTCCAAGTATAAAAAGTGTCATTAAGGTGTGGCTCCTTTTCTTTTACATTTCACATTTGGGTTTTCATGACTTTTGTTTAGATAGTACTATAATAAATATCCATAAAAGAGAAATTTTTTTTGATTTAACCATAAGGTTCTTACTATTGTAACCTACCCGTAAAAAAAATGCATATACCGAAGTAATTTTTTAGCAATAAATCACTGATTGTATCTATGTTTTGTATTTTTCTGATATGACTAGTTACAATAGTCATAAATAAATAACTTATAAGTTATGTTTAAAAAAATTTAAATTTAAAAAGCTTATTTTATAACTTAATACAATGACAATACTTTATTAAATTTAAACCAAAGTATATAAAGTAAAATGATTTGTTACCATACAATGCATTATTTTCAGACCTTTAGAAGACTTTGTCACATGGGTGGATAATTCAGCTATCAAGAAACGCGTTCTTGAGTATAATGACCTAAGAGATGATTTTGAGATGATGTAACATAGTTTGTAATTTACATGAATCGTAACTGATAAGTTACTTATTTAATTTTTATACATGCGTACTTTGTTAAAGTTATTATAAATAAAACATGTTTCCATTTAAACATTTTGTGTTCAGTCCATGTGTGAAATTTGAGCGTTTAATTTATTTGTACACTTGAAAAACAGAAACTCAAATGTTAGATAAGGTTAAGCTTAAAATTATTTAGGGTGTATAAAAACTGTATATTAATATATTATTATTATTTATTACTACCCAGTACCTATTCAATATCATGATTATTTAAAAAGTAATGAATTACTTGCTATAGAATTTATATTCAAAATATACACTTCCCCGTATTCATTTTGGAACTATATTTCTTCTCCTATACTCTAAATATAGTCTATAGTATGTATAAATTATTGTTACGGGAAAAGTGGACTAACTGGCAATGTGAACACTGCCCGATTTCAATGGGCAATGTGAGCAAAATTATACATAGCCGAGACAATATTATAGAATTCCTCTGTGTTGTAATGTCAACTACCATGGTTTTTAACTTTATTTAATACTTATTTATAACTTTATATTTTGTCATATAATATTGTTTAAAATAACTTGAAATTTAAAATTTTTGAACACATTATTTTTAAATATCACCCTTTCATTTTAATTTATTTTAAATATTGCACAAGCTTTTATCAAACCCATTCTCATACACTACTGCGCAAATAATTGTATCAACTCATGTAACAAATGAATATAATTTATAACTGTGTAATTTTAAAATATCTTAAATTACAAATATTAGATTAATACAATTTAAAACTTATTTACCAATCATTAAATTTGTGACTACTCAAATTATTTGTAATTTTGTAGATGAAATAATCTTTACATAGCTATAATTGACACGGTAATATTGAAAGTTTTATATAGGTACTCGGTGTTTGTAATGCAACCAGTTAAAGTGAACATTATTGTTGTATTACTTTTCAATGAATAATTGTTATACTTCTGTATTATTACCTTATAAAAATACATAGGTAATACCAGTCAATATATACTAAATTTACCGGAATCATTATATCCATTTAAAGTTTAAATTGCAAATTTGTTTTTTTAAATTTAAATTTCAATGCACAATTAACTAAGCACAAAATATACTTAATCTGAATAATGTGTTCCCTGTTGGAGAAAAAACAGTATTTTAAAGAGTTTCACAAAAACACTGTGCAAAGTACATACAGCCCGTAATATAAATATTTATGTTTGACAATTTATTTTTATAAGTACTTGAGTTTCTAGATGTTTGTATAAAGATCTTTAAGAGTTGAATGCATATGAACACATATATTTTATTTAATTCTTACTTCACTGGCTGCATTTGGGTTCAACACATTCCTGAGAAATTTAGAATTTTGATGTGTGATGAATTATAGTATGGTGAAAAAAAAACAACTAATGGCCAGTTACCAAGCTTAAGCTTAAGGGGCCTCGCAATGGCATTGATTTAAGGAGAATCATTTAGGCAATTTCTAATCTCGTCGTTGCCACCCGAGATCTATGTGTTAGTCGTAAATGATTATTAGTGTGTGTGGCGTCCATGCGGGTCAATTGTAGTGGTGCGGAGGGCTCTCGCACGCACTCGCACACACATGTCAATATATAATAATATTGTGATCATGAAAAAATGCTTATTAGTTATTTTTCACTTAAACATACGGTTCTAATTCCAACAGTACGTCGCAACGATTACCTCGATTTTCATTCTGACAAAATATTCTTATTTTCCACAACATGTACGAGGGATCGATCGAGGCACATTTTTAAAATTGTATTTAGTTAATTAAATATTTAAGTTGGAAATTCTGTATTTTTTTTTGATTTTTTTTACAATTTAAATTACAAAAATTAAAAATGTGGCTCGATCGTTCCCTTGTATATATTACGGACAATCAGAATATCTTTTCAGAATGAAAATCGTGATAATTGTAGACACGTATCGTTGGAATTAGAAACAGTAGTTTTTGACAAAAAAAAGACTTGGTAGTGAGGCCCCTTAATAAAAAAAAAAATATATAGTTTTTACTAATTAATGACAAAACAATCTTGGAGTCACAACTTGGATCATACTATCTCATGCTGCTACTTTTAAACCAATCGTACCAAAAAATAATTTAAAAAAAATTTAATTTTCAAAAGTATAATATGTATTGTGATCCAAGACTGTAATCTACTTTAGGTTCCACATCCACATAATCCTAGCCTGAACATATTGAAATACAATTATTAAAAGCTACATTTAATATAAATTATTGTTTTAAAATATTTATATTAAGTGAAATTTTGTGAAAAATTTTTTTTTTGTTTCTTTAAATTTGTATACAACCAAACTTTATGGTAGTTGATCTAAATATTTTAGAATTTGAGATATTGATTCAAAATTTTTCATCACAAATATACCTGAGAAAATTAAGTTTTACCTAATCTACCGAGGTATTTAATTAAACCCAGTTGTATCTTGGTCGAATTGTATTAATCATACTAGTGTAAGGTTAGAGGTTAGGTATGGATTTTTATTTTGAGAAACAACCTATATTTGTTATTTGTCATCTATTTTTTTAAGCTTATATTAGTTATCCTCAGCATTTAAAATGTGTTCATAGTACTATAGTAGATGTCCAAAGTAAATATTATAATATTATCAAGATAAAACACAATAATAAATTATGAACTAATATAAATAACTATTTCTATATTATAGATATTTATTAATTTTATATAAAGAAATATGTATTACATACATTTATTAATATCTAAATAGTCCCTTTACACATACTCTCTTATCGTTCCATCACTATAATTATCTTAATAAATAATAATGCTCCCTTCACCTGTCCTGTCTTATGCAAAAGGCTCTACTTTTATTAATTAGCAATGGTTCTATGTGAAACCTTTTACATTATTTTTCTTCAGATATCTATAGCACTTTTGCAGTATTGTTTGCTTATATATTATGATATCATATCTTATATCTAAAATAATACGGTACTGTATTTATATTTTGTAATTTCCGAGTTTAGCCTATTACAATTGACAATTGTAATAAATAAATAAATAAATAACTTACAAGTTATTAAAACATTATAATTTTTTTAAAAAAAATACAATTTTATTCAACTTAATATAAATTATAAATCATTATACTTTATTAAATTAAAAATTGAAGCTTAAATATAAAATAAAAAAAAAATTAACAGTGTACAATATTATAATATGTTTAGTTTTATATAACTTATAAGACTTTGTGACATGGGTGGATAATTACCATCAAGAAATGTGTTCTTTAGTATAATTTTTAGGCAATGTAGTATATTAAGTAATTTACTCTAATAAATTATAATTGATAAGTTACAATTTTAAATTTGTATACATCCATATTTTGTTGACTTTATTATAAATAAAAAATGTTTCAATTTAATGATTTTGTTTTAAACTGCAACTCTGCTATTTAAATATCCTTGTATTGAATTCATGTATCAAAGTGTAACTCAGAAATTAATAGAGAGCTTAAAAAATAGAAAAACAAATGTTAGATAAGGTTTAGCTTAACATTAGGGTATATATTGCCTAAATAAATTTAAATGTATTTGAAACAGTTCATATGGGTTAAATTATTTTTAGATAGTTAAAATAATTTATAAATTGATAAATAATTATTTTTCTAAGATTTAATTATTGAAAATTACATTTTATCACGTTCAGTACCAAGATTGATAGTTTTGGTGTGCTAATCAATGTACTCTTAGAAGTGATATATTTTTTTTAAGCATATTTTTGTTTTATTATATTTAATGTTAGTTACACAATAATGCTCTAATTAAAATATCTAACATATATAAATTAGAGTATAAATATGGTTTGTTAATATATTATTATTTATTACTACGTATTGAATGTCAAGATCATTTCAACAAATAATTACATATTAGAATATGCATATTGAATCTAAATTATAAATATATACCTAGCCCACATCAGTTTTAAAACCAATTAGTATTTGTTTCTAACGACTATATTCTTTTTGTTACACAAATATCTAACTTATGTTTGATAATAATTTATTATAATTACTTGATTTTCCACATAATTGTATGCACTTCTTTTAGAGTTGACTTCATATCAATACTACTTTCATCAAATTGCATTTGTTCAATGTGAGCGACCGCATCATCGCCCAAAATACTCTTGATGAACACACTGTTTGAAATTAATTTTTAATTATTAATTTATAGACAATTATTCACAATTTTGGTAATTTTGATAGATGTTTAAAATATATTCATGATATGGTAGTCGGAAAAAAGCTCAGATATCAAAATACGGTTAAAAAAAGCCTTATGGATTTTTCAATTTTTTACCTTTTAACATTTTTTAAATTATGTACAAATGACAATTATTGATAATGTAATATGTAGATTTTAGCTATACTTGTGTATCAGTGGTGGCGGGATATAGGACTATTTGAAGCAATTGCTTCATGTCTGAAATGGGTGGGTGGGTGTATAAGCATATTCATAATCGTAAGACCCCAACACAAATATGGTAAATATTTTAATTAATGATTATTAATGTCCCCTAATGCTAATTTTAGTTCAATGAAGGGTGCGCGGTGGTAAACATATTTAAAATATACAATATGCTTCAAAATCTCCACAATTTCGCGCCGCCACTGTTGTGTATTAAATTTTATTAAGTAAGACATGTTAAGGAATGTTATTGAACTATTTATTATATATATTTTGATTTGGGTATCGTATAAGTTTTATGATTTTTTAACTGTAATAAGATTAGTTATCATTTAATACCATATACTAGGTGCAATTTTTTTTATAGTTATCTTTTAATAAAATAAACATATTACCTAGTATAATAAACTAGATGCATAATATAATAATATAACGAAATGATTTAATAACTAATGAAAAACAATTTTTAACATTAATTGATTA